CTCTGCCGCTCAGACTGGAGTGCAGTGGCCGCTCCCGGCCACCACAGCCTCGACCTGCTGGGCACCGGTGATCCTTCCGCCTCAGCCTTCCAAGAAGCTGGAACTACAGGCGCGCGCTACCATGCCTGGCTAATTTTTTGATTTATTGTAGAGATGAGGTCTCGCCAATCCTGAGTTTTTTTACTCCCCTCTTGTATACATATAAAATGAACAAAGAAATTTTTAGTTTGGCTACAATGCAAGTATGGGGAGATGACTAGTGGAAAATGAGGCTAAAAATATAGGATCAAGTCATGCAGAGTACTGAACGCTGGAGTGCGCAGTTTATTCCAAAGGCAACAGGAAGCCAAAATAGGTTTTTTAGTGAGAGGTAAACAACCAGAGAATAACTTCAGAAAAAATAATCTGATAGATACAAATTCCACTTCATCCAAATCCATCTTCTAAATATTTGTTTGTAAAAAAACAGGTACAAAACATGAAGGAAGAGATGGGAGAAGGAGAGAAACTATATACAATGTAGAATCACTGTAATAATCAAAAGACATCCTGAAACTCTCAGCATGTAATTCTCACAAATTACATTTCCCTTCACTGTAGAAAGCATAAACAATTATGTATGACTGAAGTGTATACATATAGTAAATATAATAGATACATACATGTATTTATTACTAAATACATGCAGTTAGATTTTAAAATTATAAAGAAAGTGCATTCAGGGGCTTCTAAGGCATTTCAAGTGATTGAAGGTAAAATAACTAGTGATAGAGTATTCAAGGTGTCATACACAAGAAACTAAGGATTCAATTTGTCAATTCCACACAATGTACTATACAGAGGAGAAAATAATGAATTGGGATTATTTAGAACATCTAAAAATATGTTTTTACTTGTAAAAATGTGTAGTAAAAATTTAAAAATAAAAAAATAAAAATACACATAGCACATAGATATTGTACATATACATATTTTTGAAAACTGATATATTATTAATACATACAGTGAGGCAACTGACATAATGTAAAGAATACTGGTCTAGGAACTTTAGTCCTAATTTTGCCACCAACTAGGTCTGTGATTTAGGTAAGCCAATAACACCTGTAAGGTCTCATTTCTCTTATCCAAAAAATGAAGAGTTTGGACTAGGATGATATAAGATATCTTTTAGTCTCAATATCTGATGAGCTGTGAAATGATTGCTATTCAAGGAAAGACTCTTTTTTTTTTGAGTTGGAGTCTCACTCTGTCACCCAGACTAGAGAGCAGTGACATGCTCCTGGCCACCGCAGCCTCGACCTGCTGGGCTCTAGCAATCCTTTCGCCTCAGTCTTCAAGTAGCTAGAACTACAGGCATGTGCTACCACATCCAGCTAAATTTTTTTATTTTATTGTAGAGATGAGGTCTTGCCAAGTTGCCCAGGCGGGTCTCGAACCCGCAGGCTCAGGAAATCCACTCCCCTCAGCTTCCCAAAGCGCTGGGATTACAGGCTGAGTTACCGAGTCCGGCTCAGGGAAAGACTCTTATAGTTCATTTACACTTTTGAATGTTATTTACTTAGATACATATATATGTACATGTTCCCATCCTACAGTGCAGAAAATATTTTAAGATGATTTAGATGTACTATAGTCTGACTTTGGACTATCACTATTATGATCATTTCCAAGTAACTTTTATTATAGAATTTTCATATTTTAATAGTTCAAAATGGACTCTACTGATATATAAGGATTCTTTTGAAAATATATAACAATTTTATGCTAAACATGTATTTTAATAACTCATGCAATGATTTACCTCCTCTCCTTGCTGGTATTTCCGGGATTCCACCCCTAGTCTGTGTACACTGGCCTATTACATTCACAATCATAATTTCAACTATCACATAAAAGCTGTCTCCCAAATCTGTATTTTAGCCCAAATCTATCTCCTAGGGTCCATATCTATATATTCATCTGTCACTTACATATTTTATCCAATGTCATTAATTTCAAATTCAAGAAACTAAACAAACTCAACTCTCTCTCTCTGCTACATTTGTTCTTCTACTCCATCAGCTCAATGAATAAGAGCAACATCCACTCAAGTGCTCAAGTCGGAAATCTGAAATCAGCATTGACTTGTCCTGTCTAGTCCCTCATATCCAATTAGTTATCAAATCCTATTGAATTGAAGCAATGCGTTTTTCATCTCTCTCTAATACTCTTTATTGCCATTGCCATTACTTAACTCAAGTCCTAGTAATTCCTTAATTTCTTGCTGGATTCCTGCAACAGCTTTTTTAAAAAATTAACTTTTGGGGGTATAATTTATATAGAATAAAACCAACAGATTTCAAGTGTATAGAACAATGAGTTCTGATAAATATAAACATCTATTTAACTATCATCCTCATCAAGATACAGAACATTACACCAACCTAGAAAGTTTCTGGGTCCCTCTGCAGTCAATCCACCACCTGCACCCCAACTCACTTCAGGCAAATACTGATCTGATTTCTATCACCACAGAGTCATTTTGTCTGTTCCAGAGAATCACATAAATAAAATCATCCAATATGTACTTTTTAAATCCTGACTTCTTTTGCTCAGCATATCTGTGAGATTCATCCATGTTGCTGCGTACATCAGCAGTCAGTTTATTTTTATTGTTTATTTGCTGCAATTGTTTCTTAACTGCCACCAAATTCATGGACTTTGATCCATGTTTCATACTGCTTCCAGAGACATCTCTCTAAAATAAAAATCTGATGATGTCACTCATCATCTCAAATTCTTTCAATAGTTCCTCACTGCCTACAGAATAAAGGATAGGCTCCTAAACAAGACATTCATGTACCTTCCATTCCCTAGTTCCTGATGCCCTTTCAAAACCCACATGAGCCTGGCACGCTGGTGGTACAGTGGTGAGCATGCTACCTTCCAAAACCCAAACATGCATACAATTATTTAAACCGCCAGTGCCATTTCTCTAGAGTTTTTACATATAAATCGAGGAGAAAAGTGAAAATTTCAGGTCATTTTTGGAACTAAATTTGGCTCCAGGGTATTATATGGCCAAAAGGATCTGGATGATTTCAGATAAACCCTATACATTTTGGAACTGACAGGGTAAACACTGAAATGTACTTCCACAGGTATCATGTGGTCAGTTTCCAGTGTATCACTTTGCTTTTAAGTAATATTACACCTGTTATAGAGACTAATTAAGACATAAAGGCAGAAACGTTTATGCATAACCTTACAAGCATATTAAAAATGCAATTGTATATACTGCTTTTGTACTTATTTCAAGAGCATTTTCCATGTTATATTATTTTCATAAATATTACTTTAATGGTTAAAAAAAAGTTCTAAAAAAGATGCATACACCTAGTAAGTATAACACTATACAGCTAAACTTTTTTCTTGAAGGGGCATTTAGGCTGCTTCTGAATATTAGTGTTCAATTTAGGTAATGCTGCAATAAACACTTTCATGCACAAAAGTGCATTTTATATTTTGGATATTGTCTTTGACACAGAATTCCACGATGGGTTACTGCATTAAGAAAGCCTGAATAAGCCGGGCTCGGTGGCTCAGCCTGTAACCCTGCGCCTTTGGGAGGCTGAGGTGAGTGGATTGCCTGAGCCCACGGGTTCGAGACCCGCCTGGGCAGCGAGACCTCATCTCTACAATAAATCAAAAAATCAGCCAGGCGTGGTAGCACATGCCTGTAATTCTGGCTACTCGGAAGGCTGAGGCAGAAGGATCGCCGGAGCCCAGCAGGTCGAGGCTGCGGTGGCCGGGAGCGGCCACTGCACTCCAGTCTGGGCGACAGAGTGAGACTCCAACTCAAAAAAAAAAAGAAAGCCTGAATAATTTATGGTTTTAATATATTTATGACACATTATCAAATAATACATGAAAATAGCTTTAATAACCTGGTCACGCTCAGCCCCCTCCCAGCCACAATCTCTTTTATCATTCATGTGTTTTAGTCCCTATGCTTATACTACTCTTTTCTTATTCATCAAGTATAGGTATTATTTAGTGACTTCCTGTTATAATAAATGAGAACTGAGTTCAATTATACCACTTCCTACTTCCTCTATTAAATCAGAGGAGGCTGACTTTATAATGTCAAAAATCTTTTTTTTGAGTCGGAGTCTCACTCTGTTTCCCAGGCTGGAGTGCAGTGCCACTGCAGCCTCAACCTGCTGGGCTCACACAATCCTTCCACCTCAGCCTTTTAAGTAGTTGGAACTACAGGCATGTGCCACCAAACCTGGCTAATTTTTCTTGATTTATTGTTTAGAGATAAGGTCTCACCAAGTTGCCCAGGCTGGTATCAAACCCCTGGGCTCAGGTAATCCTCTTGCCTTTGCTTCCCAAAGTGTTGGGATTACAGGTGTGAGCCATCGTGCTTTGTTTACAATGTCATTATAAATAGTTGTAATGTCAAATAAATAATAGGTTTCTTTCTCTCTCAACTTCAGTTTGTATTTCTTTATATTAATCTCCTTTGTCTTTCCCAACTTCTAATAGTTATGCTTTTACTTTTACATTGTTACAGTTAATATTTATAACATTTTTTGAACTCAAAAAAAGATATCATGTTAACTGTTTTTGAAATTTGAGTATTCATTAGTATTTACAATATGATTAAATCAATAGTTAACTGAAGAAACAAGTAGTAAGTTATGGGTATGCTTCCTTCTACCAGGTATTAATGTCTTGATCCTTAAGCTATTCAAAGGAAAATATTTTTTTTTAAATGGAAAATATTTTTACATCAAGGTCAATAGATTATTTTACAATTTGGATTCCAGTCTCTGTAAAATAATAACAATGACACCAGGGAAAATAATATAATTTATAATTTCCTCACACCATGGCAAGTAATATCAGTTTCATGACAAGCTCAGGTCCAAAGTTAAGACTACTGGTTTTTAATATGAATCCAAAAATTTTTATCATATATAAAGGGAGCAGGCTAAGTCATAAAGCATTCTCACCTGTCAGAGCATCCCGATAAAGCTGCACAAAGTGAGTAAAGATATCCTTTGGCAAACACTTTTCATCTGGTAGACACTGTAGAAGAATGACTATCTCAGACTGACCCACTGCATGCATTCCCTTGGTTGTGAAACACCAGCACTTCCTGTTCACATCTATAGATGGAATAAAAATATAAAAACAATCCTTACTCTTAAAAAAGATGCATAGAAATCCATATTACAATACAGCAAAGATTAAAATAGATCATACTGAGTCTGTATAATTTAACTGTGAAATGTCACTGCAGTGAGCCAAAAAACTATTGTAGAAAATAAAACATGCCAATGCCTCTGGCTCTTTTTAAACACTTAGGAAAAGGATTTCAATGGAAGTAAAACAAATAATAATTATGAAAATGCACTAAAACTTTTAACTCCTATTATTAAAAGGCATTATATAAAAAGAAGCAACATTTTATTAATAATAAGCAAAACCAAACTATGTATCCTGGATAATGACTTAAGAACCAAAGTCCTCCAACTTTATACAAAAACAAAAATTCACCAAAGTAAGTAACTACATATGAAAGGCCAGAGACAAAAACAATAAAAGCCAATATTATAGTTTTGACTTTAGATCGTGGCCTAAAGAAAATACATTTTTAGTTATATTTATTAAAGTTAATCTATGACCAAAAGATTCTAGCTATTCTAACTATTGTCTTTTCTGGGAGAAAATTGTAGATAATCAGCAACATGACTTTAACTAGGTTTCATGCTGTACAAAGTGGTTCTCTAAACTACTTATGGCCACTCCTTCACTTTAAGGTTATATAAAGTACGAACAGTAGAAACCATATGTGGTGAACAACAATGTTTAATCCTTGACACTTTTATTATTTGTCCCTAACACAATGGAATTCCCAAAGAAATTGAAAAAGAATTCAAATAAAATTACAAATCCCACTACGTAATCAAAACAAATATAAATTTTAAAAAAGAAAGATCCATTTCTTTCACTTTGAAAAGATTTACTTTATATACCTAAACAGTAATATGATACGCTTCAGAAATTCCAGGTTAGCTAATTTCTAAGTATCATTGACAAACTAGATATAGTAAACTGAAATTTCAAGCAAATTACTTTAAAGTCTGATCCAGGAATGAAAGGTAGCAAGCATTAACAACTGGCTAAATATACAGGAATATGATTAGCAAGTAAGTCAGAAACCTACATTTCATCAACGTAGAATCTCTAAGGAAGTAGTATAGAAGTGTTTCTGGTTAGCCAAGCATGGTGGCTCAAGTCTGTAATCCCAGCACTTTGGGAGGTGGAGGTGAGAGGATTGCCTGAGCCCAGTGGTTCAAGACCACCCTGGGCAACTTGGCAAGACCTCATCTCTACAATAACTCAAGAAGAATTAGCTAGGCGTGGTGACATACGCCTGTAGTTCCAGATACTTGGAAGGCTAAGGCAGAAGGATCAACTGACTCCAGCAGGTCAAGGCTACGGTGGCTGTGAGTATGCCAATGCACTCCAGCCTGGATGCAGAGTGAGACTTCGAATCAAAAAAAAAAAGTGTTTCTGGTTTCTGAGATCAACTTAAGACAAGTATACAATGGGAACTGAAGGACTATTCCCCAGACGGTCCTTCCTTCCTCCAAAACTGCCTATTAACACTCATTCAGGATAAATGCACTATTTTCCAATACCATATGGGAAAGTAGAATCAAGATTCTAAAAGTTACCGTCCTCTCTCTCATTGTGATGCCCATGAAGCTATCACCAAGAATTGAAAAGTTTCTTCTGAATCTTAGCTTACAATGTATTGACATTACTATGTGTTATGTTAGTTAACTAATAATTTTCCTAAATAAAGTTTCACACAACGATTAAGGTTTCTGAAATTAAAACCTAGCATGTAAATTGTCTGGCCCTGTATAATTTATCTGCCACCAGTTATTCTGGTGGTGAGTTGTAACTTAACAAACCCATCTCAAGAAGAACTTAACTCAGGTTAGTTCAAGAGTTGTTTGGCTTTCTTCCATAGAGAATTTACCTACCTCACCCCTGTAACTAAAGACAAGAGTTGCACAGTCCCACAGTTGTCCTCTGGGATACATTATTTTATACAAACCAACTCTCTATAAAAATATTTGTATGTAATGAATTGGAAAGTTTTATTTACTATTTATGAGTCAGTAAAACACCTCATTTTAACTTAAACAATTTTTTAACTTACAATTTACAATTTTAACCATTGACAACAAATTTGCATTTAAAACAAATACAAGTGGGTCAGGGCCACCATCCTCCAATTGCTGCATTACTGAAATCTGTGATGGTTTCTCTTCCACAGCATAGTCTGTAAGGGGAGAGAGCAATATAACAGATTGGTTAAAAGGACAAATCAAGAATGAAATCTGACAGATAAATATGCTAATTACTCACAGGAAAGAGACAAACATTTGATGTATACGTAGGGTGAACACAGATCCTGGTTTGTACATGCTGTCCCAGTGTCAAGTTAATAGTATTCCTCTTTACTCTAAAAAGTGACCCAATCATTGGATGATAATGTAGCTATCCTATGTGCAAACTTCTCCCCAAAATGGTTTTGTGTCATAGTCTAAAGATAATCTTTCATTTAATTAAAAACCTGCCAGCTGGGCTCGGTGGCTTAGCCTGTAATCCCACGCTTTGGGAGGCTGAGGTGAGTGGATTGCCTGAGCCGGTGGGTTCGAGACGCGCCTGGGCAACTTGGCGAGACCTTATCTCTACAATAAATAAAAAAAAAAAAATTAGCCAGGCATGGTAGCGCGCGCTTGTATTTCCAGCGACTTGGAAGGCTGAGAGGGAAGGATTGTCCGAGCCCAGGAGGTCGAGGCTGCGGTGGCCGGGAGTGGCCACTGCACTCCAGTCTGGGCGACAGAGTGAGACTCCAACTCAAAAAAAAAACAACAAAAAATTGCCAACTATCATAACAAGAATTTCACATAATACATGTTCTACGACTCACATTTTAAAATAACCCATGATACACAAGAAAGTGGTAATATTCATTACCTTTTGAAAGCTTGTCAAAGAGTTGAGGTAGAAAAGAGCCCTACTTTTTACTGTTTGATATTTTGACCATTAAAAAAGTAAACTCAGCTGGGCATGGTGGTTCACACCTGTAATCCCAGCAATTGGGAAGGTTGAGGTGGGAAGACTGCTTGAGTCCAGGACTTTGAGACCAACCTGGGCAACATGGTGAGACCTCATCTCTACATAAAATAAAAAACTTAGCCCTGTGTGGTAACATGTGCCTGTAGTCCCAGCTAAGGTGAAAGGATCGTCTGAGCCTAGGAGGTCGAGGCTGTGGTGAGCCATGGTCGTGCCACTGCACTCCAGCCTGAATGACAGACTCCAACTCAAAAGAAAAAAAAATTAAACTCTAAAAATAGAACCCAGAAAATGAAAATATCATAGTTGGTTGGCTTCATAAAACAACTCCTTTAAGCATAACTCAAGAGTCTTAATACATATATCTTTAAAATCACTAATAAATCACACATCAGATTCTGAACATGAACGAGTAAATACTGAATGTAACCCTCTCATTTAATCTCTGGAAGCACAGTATGTAACATTCAGCCACCTCATTTCGAATGATGGTGGTCCTCTTAGCTTGAAGTCAAAATCATACGTAATAATCACTGTAGAATCTAGAAATATAAATAAGAAATTGAAAGCCTAAAACTTGAATGTTGCTTGGTTGGTCTTATATAAAATACATCATTAAGGGACAGTCCAGGTAGAGCAAAGTAACACCATTTCCAACTAAACAACATAACTTTAAAAAGTGATTTTTTTGAAGATGTAATGGAAATTACCTACCCTATTAATAAAAATATTTACTGGAAAAAGAAATACTAAGAGAGTTAAAGAAAATTTTTTATTAAAGGATCTCACTGGAATACAATGCTGAAAATTCCGGTAAAGAGACTGTAACATAGTTTAATGAAGTAAATATAGATAATTAATATAGATAACTAGCTGCTCTTTCTTGGTAGAAGAGACTCTGACAATTAGACTTAAGAATATAACTTTTTATGAAAATAGAATTCTGCAATCTAACTTATTTTAACAGCAGAGCAGTCCAATTTAATTCCTTATAAATCTAAGATTAAAATAACCAAAATTTGTAACCTAAATAGCAAGTTTACTAACAAAAGCATATTTTTATGGAGTCCTGATAGAAGAGCAAAGGCATTATACAATCAAAAGAATGCTTAACTTTATGTGAAAACTCACTGCTGAATTATCTGGGACACAGCTGGATTTCAGAGTATAATTACACTCAGTAAACATTTGCTGAGAGCCTACTGTGGGCCCAGAACCATGCAAGGAATAGAAACACAAACAGGAATTAAGACTAAAGGAATTCATGGTATAAGTAAAGAATCAGATCTATAAAATATCTAAATTACACTGAGAAAAGTGTTATTGTAGCAACAATCTATAAGAATTGCTATTAGAACAGAGATAAGAAGGAAAAACACTACTTTGTAGGCAGCCTAGGCAAGAATTTAGAGAAGAGTTAACCATGAAGGTGGATTTATTTATTTATTTTTTGTTTATGTATTTATTTATTTTGAGTTGGAGTCTCACTCTGTTGCCCACACTGGAGTACAGTGGCCGCTCCCGGCCACCACAACCTCGACCTGCTGGGCTCCAGGGATCCTTCCGCCTCAGCCTTCCAAGTGGTTGGAACTACAGGCGCGTGCTACCCACACCCGGCTGATTTTTTTTTTTTGATTTATTGTAGAGATGAGGTCTCGCCAATTTGCCCAGGTGGTTCTCGAACCCGCGGGCTCAGGCAATCCACTCACCTCAGCCTCCCAAGTCGCGGGATTACAGGCTGAGCCACCGAGCCCGGCTCGAAGGTGGATTTAGAAAGGTTGAGGAGTTCTATAAGAAGTCACCAGTACAGAGGGGTATTCCAGGCAGAGGAAAGGAAGAAAAGGAAAATATTAATTACATACATACTTTGTACCATATACTTTCTTGCCATGTACTTATAGGTATAACATCTAATTTAACATTCACAATGATTCTTAAGTAGGTGTAGTTATGCAATTTTTAAAAAATTGGAAACATTCAGAGAGGATAACAGCTAGGATGAAATGGTACTGGCATTAAAACTCATGGTTATACAATTCTGAAGTCCATTCTTTTGCATTATTCCACAGCAAAAGAAAAAGCATGGAAGAATGAAAAATGAATATTAAAAAAAATAGCAAATAATCTGCAGCATGCATGTTAGGTGCTGGGCTAATGGCTGGAAAGACAGGTTGAGAGATGATAAGGAACACCCTCTGCTAAGGTAAGTAATTTATAATAAAGACATTGGGAATCCATTAAATATTTCTAAGCAAGTGCAATATGTGACAATATCTATGTTTTAAAAGATAACTGGCAACAGTGTAAAAGATAAAAGAGAAAAAGGCTGAAGGCAAGAGACTAGGAAAAAGCCTCGGACAACATTCAAGAGAAGTTATTAATAAACCATCTTCTGAAAAATGTACTGATTTTATGCTGATCTGAATATAACAACAATAAAATTTCATATAAAGTTAAACATTCTTTTACAGGATAATAATCTTACTTCTTACCAAGACTCCCTAAAAATTATTCCTAGCAGTGAAATTGCTATTTAATTTCAGTGTTCTTCATACCTATTATATGTATCATTTTGGATGTGTATAATGCTTCCAAACAAGAAGTTAAATCAATGACTGTATCAAGGTAGGCCAATCCTAAAGCCACAAGCAACTCTTCGAATATTATGGGCTTTGAAATATTTTTAAAACTGCTAATAAAATACATTTATATTGTAATTAATATTATATTCTTCCAAAGAATAAAAATGGCATTATAATATAAAAACATAAACATCTGCTCTAAAATAATAAGCGTAACAATTGTTTTCATGGCAATGGGATAGATACTTTGTTGGATAGGAGAAAGATTGTTATCACTCAAATTTTGCTCCCCTCCCTTAATCAGAAGGCAACATTTGACATACATAACTATCCCTGTTTAAATATGTAAGTCCATATACCTCCTTTTACACCAGTGGAGATGAGAATGGGAGGAAGACCATCTTCAGGAATAAGGTTCATTGCACTTCCAACAGGACTTCCAACCTGAGTTATACTCCCAGAGAACAGAGAAATATCCGTCTAGGAAAAGCAAGTCAGCAAAATGAGTGTTACAGAGAATTCAAGATTTTGGCAGAATATAATTTAGAATATAAATGGGAACTTTAAGTGAAAATTTGAAATGTATACTTGTTGAAAGATAACACAAGATATTCATTAACCCATGATGTAAAAAACAAAACAAAACAAACAAACAAAAACACTAGGCTTATACTATGAAAATGTTTTCAGGCCAGGCGTGGTGGCTCACACCTGTAATCCCAGCACTTGGGGAGATTATGGCCGGAGGACTGCTTGAGCCCAGGAGTTTGAGCCTGGGCAACATAGTAAGACCTTGTCTCTACAAAAAAAATTTAAAACTTAGCCAGCTATGGTGGTGCTCAGTTGTAGTCCCAGCCACTCGGGAGGCAAAGGCCTCATATATCAGTTCTCCTTTCAAATGGATAGGTATTAGCAAATCATTGTAACGAGAAGAGCTTCCTTTACTCCAATTCCTTTTCCCATAAAATAAAAATATTTTTAAAACACTGCAGTGGCAACAGAAACAAAATTTCAGTATCTTCTAATAATTTCTTAATCATTAACGTCTTTGGCTCTACTTGAACTAAATCTTCTCATTTGTATCACTTTTTAAAATTCACATTGACTATAGTGGCAATGGTTGCACAACAACATTAATGTACCTGATGCCAATAAATGGTATACTTAAAAATAATTAAAAGTGTAAATTGTATGTTGTAGGCCGGTTGCGATGGCTCAAGTCTGTAATCCCAACACTTTGGGAGGCCGAGGCAAGAGGACTGTCTCAAGTTAGGGGCTTGAGTCCATCCTGGACAACTTGGGAAGACATTATCTCTACAGAATATCGAAAAATTAGCCAGGCATGGTAACACGCGCTATAGTGTCAGCTACTCGGAAGGCTGAGACAGAAGGATTGCCTGAGCCCAGAGGGTCAATGCTAGGGTGGTCATGAGCATGCCACTGCACTCCAGTCTGAGTGACAATGAGACTCTGACTCAAAAACAAAACAAAGCTGGGCTTGGTGCTCAGTCTGTAATCCCGTGCCTTGGGAGGCCAAGGTGAGTGGAATGCCTGAGCCCGCGGGTTCGAGACCCACCTGGCAACTTGTTGAGACCTCATCTCTACAATAAATCAAAATTTAGCTGGGCGTGGTAGCACGTGCTTGTAGTTCCAGCTACTTGGAAGACTGAGGTGGAAGGATCGCCGGAGACCAGCAGGTCGAGACTGCGGTGGCCGGAAGCGGCCACTGCACTCCAGTCTGGGTGACAGAGTAAGACTCCAACTCAAAAAACAAAAAAAATTTATGTTGTATATATTTTACCAGAAAATAGGGAAAAACTAACTTTGATAAAATATAGACATTAAAATAGGCCATCATTTTCCATTTACTATGTAATAAAACTTCAGGTTCGTTTTTGTTTGCTTTAGTATGACATTACTTGCAATTAATAAAGTGTAATGCTGCAAAACATTTTGGGTGAAGTTAAGTCCATTCAATTAATGATTATTTAATAGAACACAGTCAAAGAGCTATTAAAATGATGCCCTCTTCCCTATATTCTCTATAACTTAAAAAAAATAGAAGTTTTAAAATTAGAAGAAAAACATTTAAGAGCTGTTTTCTAAACATGTGTAAGAATGCTCAAGCAGCTCTATTCACAATAGCCAAAAACTGGAAACAATTCAAATGTCTATTAACAGGAAAACAGATAAATTATGGTATATCCATATAATGAAATACTACTCAGCAATAAAAATTAATTTTATACATAAAACATGGACAAATCTCATAAACATTATTCTGAACTTATGAAGCTAAAAACAAAACATTATATATACTACTGCTCCCATTTCTGTGAGCTCAAGATGAGAAAAAATAATCTCTGCAGTGATGCAAGTCAGAATAGTGATAACCTTGAATAAGGGGAGTACTGACAGAAAAAAGGCATGAGGGAACCTTATGGAGTGATGGAGATGTTCTTCTGCATGTTTAACTAAATGGTGGTCACACACACACACACACAAACACATTATATTTAAAAAGCATAATATATAAATTCATCAAGTTGTTTCCTAAAGATTAATGCTCTCTAAGCACTTTGCTATATGTACTTCATACCTAAACTATTTCTTAAAAATATACCCATGTTTTTTAATACTTTTGCCTATACTATCTATAATTTAGTACTGTAAGTTTTCAGTGGGTTTTTGTTTCAACTTTTCAGTGGTCAGTATGGTATATAAAAGAAGACTTAAGCCGGGCTCGGTGGCTCAGCCTGTAATCCTGCGCCTTTGGGAGGCTGAGGTAAGTGGATTGCCTGAGCCCGCGGGTTCGAGACCCGCCTGGGCGGCGAGACCTTATCTCTACCATAAATCAAAAAATCAGCCGGGCGTGGTATCGCACGCCTGTAATTCCGGCTACTCGGAAGGCTGAGGCGGAAGGATCGCCGGAGCCCAGCAGGTCGAGGCTGCGGTGGCCGAGAGCGGCCACTGCACTCCAGTCTGGGCGACAGAGTGAGACTCCAACTCAAAAAAAAAAAAAGAAGACTTAGAAAATTTTATTGGCAAACCATTATTAACTGATTAGAAGGCCTGATACAAGAAATAAAGCAATCTATTATAACCTGCTATTTAAATGGTACATAAATCTCCCCCCCACCCCTTTTTTGAGTCAGAGTCTCCCTGTCATTGAAGATGGAGTGCAATGGCATGCTCATGGCTACTGCAGCCTCAACTTTCTGGGCTCAAGTGATCCTTCTGCCTCAGCCTTCCAAGTATCTGGGACCATAGGCATATGCCATCATGTCTGGTTAATTTTTTGATTTATTGTAGAGACAAGGTTTTACCAAATTGCCCAGACTGGTCTGGAAACTCTGGGCTCAGACATTGTTCTTGCATTGGCCTCCCAAAGTGCAGGGATTATAGGTGTAAGCCAATGTGCCTGGCTTTTTTTTTATTTTTTTTATCTTATTTGAGTCAAGGTCTTACTCTGTTGTCCAGGCTGGAGTACAGTGGCATGACCACAATGATCACAGCTCACAGCAGCCTTGACCTCCTGGGTTCAGGTGATCCTTCCACCTCAGCTTCCTGAGTAGCTGGGACCACAGGTCTGGCTAATTTTTTAATTTGTAGAGAAGACGCTTCATTACATTGCCTAGGCTGGTGTCGAACTCCTGAGCTCAAACAATCCTCTTACCTTGGCCTCCCAAAGTGCTGGGATTATAGGCATGCCAAATCCTCCTTTTTAATATCATAAGTAGTTAGCCTCTACTAAAATATTTTTTGTACAAAGGTATTTACTTCATTTATTGAGCCCTTGTTAATAAGTTCCAAGCACTCTACTAGACCATAAAAATAAGAAAAATTTATTCTAGTCTGGCTTTAAAAAATTTATTTTCCCTTGCTGTCCCAAATAAATATTAAAAGAGTGTTGAACAATGTCAGAGCATAGAAATAAAATAATTAACTTGGTTTAATTTCTTTTATATTGAGCTGAAACTTGTTTCCCTATAATGTGCACTCACTAGTGCTACCTCATTCACTGAAAAATATTTATGCTTTAAGAACCTATCAAAAGCCGGGCTCGGTGGCTCAGCCTGTAATCCCGCGCCTTTGGGAGACTGAGGTGAGTGGATTGCCTGAGCCCACGGGTTCAAGACCCGCCTGGGCAGCAAGACCTCATCTCTACAATAAATAAAATCAGCCGGGCGTGGTAGCGCATGCCTGTAATTCCGGCTACTTGGAAGGCTGAGGTGGAAGGATCACCGGAGCCCAGCAGGTCGAGGTTGCGGTGGCCGGGAGCGGACACTGCACTCCAGTCTGGGTGACAGAGTAAGACTCCAACTCAAAAAAAAAAAAGAAACATATCCAAAAAAAAAAAAAAAGAACTTATCATACAAGCTAAGAGATGTAAAGAAATTTAACAGAAAAAAATCATTACCATATGAGTCCCTTAGTTATAAGTGATTCAGATAAGAATCATCAAAAAATAATAAAATCATTGGTTGAAAGATTGTTGGGGAACAGGATACTCACAGACTGAAAGAATCACTCTCATATTACTTATTAATTGCAAAGAGGAAAAGTATCCTTGCAATGGAGAAACACAGTACACATCACATTAACCAATTATCAAATTAATACTTATTGATGAAATTCTCTAAGAAATGATCATCACTTAAATAGCATTATTATTACCACCAAAAAATGTTTATTCAAACTAATCTTGAAAAAAGAATCAGACAAATACAACTTGAGGGTATTATGTAAAACATGCCCCAAATACTTTAACAAATTAATGATATGAAAAACTAAAAATAAATAAATAAATAAAAAACCAAAAGATAGAGGGACTGTTCACGATTAAAGGAACCAAAGAAACATGATAACTAAATGCAAATGTGATCCTTGATAAGATCCTGATTTTTTGTTTTAGATAAAAACTTTTAGCCGGGCTCAGACTGTAATCCCGCACCTTGGGAGGCTGAAGTGAGTGAATTGCCTGAGCCCGTGGGTTCGAGACCCGCCTGGGCAACTTGGCGATACCTCATCTCTGCAATAAATAAAAAATTAGCCAGGTGTGGTAGCGCGCGCCTGTAGTTCCGGCTACTTGGAAGGCTGAGGCAGAAGGATCGCCGGAGCCCAGCAGGTCAACACTGTAGTGGCCATGAGTGTGCCACTGCACTCCAGTCTGGGCCATGGAGTGAGACTCCAACTCAAAAAAAAAAGGATCTCATGTGTACATTTTCTAGTTGTGCTTCTAGGTGGCTCTGTTCTCTTATTGACTCAAAAACAAAAAAAAGGTAGTGGATATTTGTCCCCTTCTGAAGGGCCCCAAAGAAAGAGAATCCCGTTAGCCTCAAAAACTGTGACTGATATTCCTACAGAAACAAGGTAAAGTGAGAGCAGAGCATAAGCTAGTTTCCTCAGGTGTATTATCTGAGGTTTCCATCCATTAAGTTCTGGTATCCTTTTTAAAAATCGGAAATGGAAGCATTAACAGAACAGACAAATGCAGAGATGTTCGAGTTGAAGATAAAGGAATAGAAAGCTTCCTAGCCGGGCTCGGTGGCTCAGCCTGTAATCCCGCGACTTTGGGAGGCTGAAGTGAGTGGACTGCCTGAGCCCGCGGGTTCGAGACCTGCCTGCGCAATTTGGCGAGACCTCATCTCTACAAGAAATCAAAAAAATCAGCCGGGCATGGTAGCGTGCGCCTGTTAATTCCGGCTACTCGGAAGGCTGAGGCGGAAGGATCGCCGGAGCCCAGTGGGTTGAGGCTGCGGTGGCCGGGAGCAGCCACTGCACTCCAGTCTGGGCAACAGAGTAAGACTCCAACTCAAAAAAAAAAAAAAAGAAAAAGAAGGGTTCCTAAGTCACCGTCAGATTGTTTGCTCCTCCTCACCTCTTAGGAAAGAGGCCATCACAGAATTTGGGAAACCATGATTTGAAAATCAATGTATCAAAGGATCAGAATTCCCTCTAGACTGACCGCCAGCTTCAGTGGAGTGCCTGAGCTCATCTGAGAACAATTTCCATAAGAACCTTTCTCCTGAAAAGTCTTCCAAATATACAGCAAACAAGGATAGCTGATTTTTGCCACATTTAGTTTACCCCCACCCCCACACAATTATCCAAAACCTACAGGGTTCCAAACGAAAGGCACTCAACTTAGAAAAAGCCAAGACAGAGGTGGCACAATGCTGGTTAAAGTAGGTGCTCACTTTTAGTTGCTGTTTTGTTTTCTTACCTCTGCTGGTAGTGGACTGGTAGTTACCGGCTTGACTGGGTCATGTGACACAGCCAGGGTTCCTGCAGAGGAAGTTCCATTCATTGTTAATTTGGCAGCATCAGCAACTTCTCCATTGGGCAAGATCCCATCAGCAAACCAAACTCGCCTCTGCTCTCTGGGCTGAGCCACTTGAGGGGCCAGAAAAATAAAACAGGCATCAATTTGACATTGGTAGGGCTTCTAATATCAAAGAAGAGAAGGTAACCAATTCCAGATGTACAAGGAAATCACTATTTAGCATCTTATATTAGAAACATCTGAACTGTGTGTAAAAGTGGCTACAAATTAATTAAAAATACATTTAAATATGTTCTTTAATTCTATAACTTACATGCAAAGCCTTAAAACACTTTGTTTTGAAATATTAAGAGTTCTTCAACACTTCTATGATTATGTCACAATACTCTGTCCCGCAAAACTGAGAGAAACTGAGAAAAACTAAGGAAAGTATTTTAGGTGCCTAGAAAATAAATTAATAGCAAGAAAAAAATATCAAGCAACAGACATCCACATCTCCTAAATGTATGAGGTTTCCAGAGAAATTATCTGGTAAAGTGATATGGTACTTTTAAGGGGCAAAAGATGCCCTGAAGAATGTTAAAGAATAAATAATTAATTAAGAACGAGCTGGTACAGATTTGGAAGAACTGGGAAGCAAAATGACCAGTTTTTTGCCTAAAGTGTTACTGAAGAAGGAAAAGACTGATCTGGCAGTGCAGAAGTAGTTTTCATTTTGGTAAAAGGAGAGGGAAAAAGTTGGAAAACTGAGTCTGATGAAATGATCTCTTTAAATCTAGTTTCAGAAATCAATTCAAACAGTCAAAACACAGAGAGACTAGGGAAGAACAACAAAAATGACAAATGAAGTAAAGAGAATAAAGATTTTTAAGAAAGAAAGCCTGAACTCATAAAAATACAAGGAGTATGACTAAGGGATGATCTGAAAAGAAGGGAAAATGGGGAAGAGTATGATAATGTCAATAGCAGTCTTCAAAAGGAGAGGCTATTTAGCAAGGGGAAGGGAATATTACTAGATGAAAAGACAAAAAAATTAATGAAGGAAGATTGATTTTAATTATCAAGGGAAACTTCTTGACAAGATCGTTTTAAGAAAATACATCATTGCTATTTTTACTATTCTTCACCCCCTAAACATAGTGCCTTTCACTGACAATATCATAATCATAAAGATATAATAAACCAAAATAGACTGAGCCTATAATTTTCTACCTATTACATGATATAATCAGAATCAAAGTTCTGGATTTAAAGGTCTATGTACTTAATGTAAAAATTTTCATATTTTTATACAGACAGATTAAAAATGAAAAGAGAAAAATGGCAATGTGTATTCCAAAAAAGCAATACTAGAAAGGGCTGGTCAGAAAGAACTCTCATTTTCATCTCTTACTAAACACCTACAAAGAACATTAAAGTAGGCATGAAGCTAGGAATTTACAGGCTGACTTCAAATTCTATATCTCTTTTTAAGTATAAACGTGCTAATGACTCCATTTTTAAGTTGGAGAGGAGAATGGCATATTTTCTAAGGTGCCTCCAAAATATCAAGCAATACAATATGATTCTTTACTTGCCCAGAAATAGTCTTAACACATTTCTCACCTTGTTCTTTCACTTTAATAACCATCCAAAGGGATTTATCTGCAGTGTTTTAAAGACTTGTGCTGCAAAGTCCCATCAGCACCTTTTCAGAGGAACTTCGTGAGGAAAAAGAGAGAGAATAGCACATGATCCCCTACCTTCTGCTCCAGGGTGCTTTAAAACTCCCACAGGTACCATCACAGTGGGAGGTGGAGAGCTCAGGGCTCCTGAGGCCTGAGCTTGCTGCAAGGGAGGGATAGTAGAACAGTATTCAGCAGGATTGTTAGGGTTAGGGCTCTGGCTTGAGGCACTCATCATGTTCTCCCAGGCTTGAGCTAAAGCAAATACAGACACAATCAATGTGAATGGATTGCAAAATATGGACATCAAGACCTCCATAATATTGGATAAATAATGCAGCTCCTCCTCATTAACACTCATAGTATGCCTCTCTTCCAGTTAGTGAAGGTATTAAGGAGGTGACTGTATTCAATTAAAGGAGACCATGTAACTAAGTCAATTATTTGGTTGGAACAAATAAGAATCACATGATTATCAGATACTTCTGATGCAGACTGATGGTAGATCAGTCTGAGTTAAAGACTAGGCCTCTGGCTTTTTTGTAGGAGACCAAGCATTCCCTTAAAAGGGAATAAAACAATGTGAAACTTTAAGAATTAGTAACTGGAATAGCATTTAGGCATGTTTTGGTTTGTTTTAACATTTAATGTATTTTATAAAGTTCTAAAGTCAAAAAATCAAAATCAAAGGCTAAAATGGCACAACTCCACTGTATAATTTTTAGTTTCATTTCTAGACTTTTAAAAAAATTATACGAATCTTAGAAAACACAGGAGATTTCTAGACCTTTAAGGCTCTTATTAGTTAAGATAAAAATCTCATTTTAAAAATTCTAAAGCCTAAAGCTCAGGAGAACACATCTAAGCATTTTTGTGAATTCTGCTTTTATGCAATTATTATCCTATATCCAGCAATAACAACCATTTCACATCTTTGGTGTGTCTTAAAAGCACAGGACCCATTTGAACATGAAAATGTGCCAATATCATATAAATGTGATCAACCAATATGAACGATCACAAATACGTTAAGATTCTATGTACCCTATAATTTTACTAAATACTGACATATCACCTATTGTCTTTAAAGTAAACAGGATGAAAGGTACTACAGAAATGAAAGATATCAAATTTTATCTACTAGGTTCTGATAACACCACATGCCCAGGAGTAGAAACCACCCAATTTTTGAGCATCTTTTCAAAAATCTCATTGAACATCTAAGAGTGATCCAAAAGATATTGAATATTTATTGCCTCTTAACTGCAAGATAAGGCTAGTAACAAAACTATGTTCCTTTTAAAGCACTGGCAGGAAGAGGGAAGGAAGAGAAAAGGAGAAAGGGAGAAAGGAATAGGGAACACTGAAAAGCATCAAATTAAATATTCAGAAAAAGATCAGGCTAAGCCATGCGAGAGGAAAGACGCTGGAAAAACCAGGAAAAGTGGATTACCCTAGGATCCCTTGTTCAGGGCTTCCTTGGCTTAATAAAAGGTAAGTATTCCATGTGAATCCTCTGCCATTTCCTTCATCTTTAAAACTATGCCAAGTTTAAAAATTAGCTATCAAGTTGGATGCTCTCATCAAATAAAAGAGATATTGGGTACTGTAATTAAGCAGCATGCTCTTGTCTGTGGATATGAGTCTGAAAAATGAAAGCAGTGGAATAAAAATCATCAATTGAGCAATCAAGTGAAATAATTGCCATCGATAAAGTGACCCTTAAGAGTAGAGAGAATGATTCATATTTGATCAAAATTATAAGAATTCAGAAATGGGAGGAAATTGGGTGGATCATAGGAAATTAGAACAGATCAGATTAACTGTCATGCAATAGGTTAATAAGCCAGCAACAGGAAAACATCACTATGAGCAAGGCAGACAGACAGAGCAGGTGGGGCCTCAGAGCAGATAAGTTCCAGCCTCCAAGAGGTACACTACCCTGGCATAGGTAGCAATGGTGTCCAAGTTCAGTGTTTTATGTCTATTAGTAATTGTTCAAGCAACTGTACAAAGACACAAAGAAAAAACACTATAACCTGAACAACTTTAAAGAATACTCGGAGTTACTTTTGTTTTTAACTAAAATGCCCAGCTGGGCTCGGTGGCTCAGCCTGTAATCCCGTGCCTTTAGGAGGCTGAGGTGAGTGGATTGCCTGAGCCTGTGGGTTCGAGACTCGCCTGGGCAACTTGGCAAGACCTCATCTCTACAATAAATCAAAAATTAGCCGGGCATGGTCACGCACGCCTGTAGTTCCAGCTACTTGGAAGGCTGAGGCAGAAGGATCGCCGGAACCTAGCAGGTCGAGGCTGCGGTAGCCAGGAGCGGTCACCACACTCCAGCCTGGGCGACAGAGTGAGACTCCAACTCAAAAAAAAAAAAAAAAAAAAATGCCCTTGGATCATTTCCAGTCTCGCAAAAGATGAACCACTAAGTTTTATTCATCTTCCTCTGGCCATATTCTTTCACCACATAACTAAATTCAAACCCACTATCCTTATAACAAATCTAAGTAACATTAAAGATATAACTGGCAGAAAAATGCAATTTTCTACTTGCTAAAATATTTTTAAAAGATTAATGAAACAAGGTATTAATAAGAATGAATTCTAAGTTATTAAGGTGTTCCATAGAAAGAGATAACTTCTCTTGAAAGGAAAACCTCGGTCAAACTTTAATATCTCATCATCTAAATGGTCAAAAGCTCCCTATCCTCACCTTACCCTGGTAATTGTACAGGAACATTAACAGCTACAAAGCACTACCAGATTTCCAATTTCCATTATTCCTGCAAAACTTACCTGGTGTTAGCATTCATTCATTAAATTAGGCACAGGAATTCTGAAATGCCAAGATATTTTCAAAACGTGGAAAATTAGGTCAACATTTTTAGTTAAAGTTGTAATAGTTGAGAAAGTAAGCAACTTGTAGAGAAAGACGGGAAAAAAGTCTTTCACAGGAATTATCTTGTTCTGGCTCAGTAACTGTGAAATCAACCTGTTTAATACTTACCATTCATTAGCACTGAATGACAGATTACACACACTCTAGCTTCCTTTCTGTCCATATATAAAAGTTTACATTTTAGGCTACAGCAGGAAGCACAAAAAACCTGTGGGGGGAAAGAACACACAAAATTTTAGGATCATAGTGCAAAGAGAGTAAACAAATACTGGACAATACTGATTGACAGTGAACCTTATTAGACTATAATACTAAAGCTTCAAAAGAAAATATAGTTGAGGAAGCTGGGCAATTCAAAAGCATGAGTGAGATTTACAAGTTGTCAACAATAAAGAATCTGAAAAAGTTGACTGAAAACAAAAATCTTAGCCAAGATCACACAGCAAATACAGCAGGAAGGGGAAAAGGTCACCTGAGATACCTTTAGGCAAGATTTCTACACACAGTATCACATAACATGGGCGCTGAAAGATAGTTACATCTGCCATTTCTGTTTGAAAAGGAATTTTAGCAGGATGAAATAAACAACTATTATAATTCCCAAGTGTTTTTTTTTTTTTTCATCTCTCTCTCTCACTTTTTTTTTTTTTTAAGAGATGAGGTCTCACCATGTTGCCTGTGCTGGTCTCGAACTCCTGGGCTCAGCCAATCCACCCACCTCAGCCTCCCAAAGTGCTGGGATTACAGGTATGAGCCACTGTGCCCAGTCCCTGGGTTTTATCTTATGTTTGTTACTAACTTTATGTGTGAAATAATAACCATACCAGCTGGTTTCACCGTTTTGCTATAAAGGCTAGGGTTCAAAACATACAACTCAATGATAAAAATAAGCACTGTTCAGCTACAGGAAATCATAGCAGCCTACCAAAATCTGCCATGCCAATTTCCAGCATTTCATTTCTGCCTTCTTCCTTCTATACAAGGCAACAAAAATCTCCTTAGGTTTCTGCTAAGATTTATTTTCTTAGGCTGGGTGCAATGGGTCATGACTATAATCTCAACACTATGGGAAGCACAGGCAAGAGGACTGCCTGAGCCCAGGAGCTTGAGATCAGCCTGGGCAACTTGGAGAGACCTTATCTCTACAATTACAAAAAAAAAACCTGGGCTCGGTGGCTCAGCCTGTAATCCAGCGTCTTTGGGAGGCTGAGGTGGGTGGATTGCCTGAGCCTGCGGGTTCGCGACCCGCCTGGGCAACTTGGTGAGACCTCAACTCTACAATAAATCAAAAATTAGCTGGGCGTGGTAGCGTGCGCCTGTAGTTCCAGTTACT